TAAATTTTCATTAAAACTAATATCTAAATATCACAAGATCACAATTTAAAATGTTGCCTTAGAGCATCTCTACTCAAATGACTATTTATGAGGTTGCACCTAAGGGTGTGCATGGTGCAGTTTGGTGTGATTTGTAGGTAAAATTATAAATCAAATAATAAATTAATAAATAACCAAATCGTGGTTTGTGCAGTTTAGGTGGCCAATTATCAAGTTTTTGCATAATATATAATACAAATTAATTTTACATAATATTTTTCATATATATAACTACTAATTTGTAATAAATTTTATATATTAAATCTCTCTCACACTGATTTTTACTTTAATATTTGATTGCAGGTAAAAAAAATATATGTATTAAATTATAGCGGACGAATTATAAATTTCAAATCACGAAACAAACTAACTTGCAATTAGTGGGCAGATCGATGCTAATTAGGTAATATTTTGCACAACCCTAGTTACACCTTTAACAGTAAAAATAAGAATTAAGTTGTGTTCCACCCAACTTGCAAATCTGAGTTGGTAATTGACAGTTTATGAACAATACCAATTTGACATAGCTAAAAGAAGATGGCAAGTTATTTTGTTTTCATTAATTTAATGACAAGGGCCTTCAAAAGAGTTCAAAATAATAATAATAATAATAATAATAATAATTTTGATAAATCAAATGGAGTGCCTTTTAAAGATGTTAAATTTGCATAGGCCGTGCTTCAGAACCCTAGTGACGTGGCGCCGTCCCATTCGCTGAAAAAAATAAATAAATAAATTTTTTTTTGGGCGAATCACCTTCCTACACACATGACCCCCAGTGACCCCCACTGGGAGTCTTAGGCATTTTTCATTTGCGTATGTCAATCTGTTATTTAAACTTTAAAAAAAAATTATCATATTAATTTTTGAAAGTTGCGATGGAGCTTTGATGTTCTTAAAGTAATGCTCCATTTCATTTGTAAACTGACTCTTAACATTTTATATCTTAAAATTCTAACATAAATAATAAATTCTATAATTGCTCGCTCTTAGGCTTCAAAAATGAATTGGCCGCCTCTGCCGGCTCTGTACAATACTTTAAAGATTATGACATGTTACTATATCATGTCGTGTGTGCATGTGTAATGCACTTTGTCTTATTCGTTTATTTATTTTTAGTCAATTTATTTCACACAGGTCATCAAGAAAATGTAAAAAATAAAATAAAAAAATGGAGGTAAAACTGAAATGTTAATGTTGGAACAACTCCAACGAACCTCAATATTCTGTCTACAAATTTTACCTAATGCTCTATTTTAGTTCCATGTAAAATATTTTTTTTAAGTTTATTTTACATATATATATATATATATATTTTATATTTTAGTTGAACAAAAAACATATTTTTAGTCATAGCCTCCAAAATGACTAATATTAAAATTTTCGTAAGTCTGCAAGATGTTTATTTTTAGTTCGGCACTTTCAATAGATTGATAATTTCAATATGAAAACGTGACTCTTCATTAACTTTTACCCAACACATGATATAAAGTTATGTTTCAATAATCAACCAAACACGAGAAAATAAAATTAGAAAAACTGTATTTTTTTAGCACAATTAATTTACTTAAAAAATATTTTCATATGTAAAATATTTTTCATCAAAATAAATAGAGCCTAAAATACAAGTTTCTTATTTTAGACAATTATCTTTCATAAAACTAACAATACTCTTTATTCTTTCTTAAAAGAATGAGTGAAAGTCCATCATATGAAGTGTTTTGGGCCGGAGGTTCGAGTTTTGATCTTTGTTAGTTATATGGACAATACACACATGACACTTCGTGATTGGTAAGTCCAAACATAGGGTCACTCTAAATGCACCCCAAAAGTTTAGTTGTACATCCCAACTTAATGAAATTCTTTTAATATTACACCCCTATTCAAAATGACGAAAAAGTGCAAATTGAAGTAGTTTTTGACACCTATTTCATAATATGATTGTAACGCCCCAAATTAAATACAGCAATCCATCTACAATAGTGATTAAAAGACGACATATGAAGAGATAAGTACTTCCATTCATTTAAATTTCTTATACAAAAGAGCAACACATGCAAAAAAAGCTGGTGCTCCCCAAGGCGATGTACGAGGGCGGATAAAACCCTTATCTAACAATTCTTGGAGTTGAATCTTTAACTCACTCAACTCGGCATGTGCAAATCTAGATGCTGCTATAGAAATCGATGCGGTGTGACACACACTGGCTGTGCGGAAGCCTTGTCAAGAGATATGCAAGTGTGTGTGGCGCTAGTTAACACTTTTCACTAGCCTGCCAAGAAAACTCAAAGGGTTTGCGAAAACAAGCAAACACAATATTAGTTAGCTTATGAGCCACTAGGTTGGAGACAAGCCACGAATTTAGCAAGCAACAAGCTAAAATTAAAGTAAGCAACAATAGAAAGCTTTGCATAATTTAAAGGTGAAATGAACTTTTCATTGATGAAAAGAAGGCATTACAATAGTTGAACAATGCACCAAAAGTGATACAAAAGTTGCCTTACTATTGGCTAGGTTGGGATACTTTAAAGGCACAAGTAGTTTAGTTCAACACTTGGGTACTCCCTCCTTAATACAGCTTGTTAAGCCATTTCCTAGTTGGCAAGAGGAAACATTCACTATATTTGAGGAGTCATAATGGATTTTAAAAATTCTACAAAAAGAGAAAAATTACAATACTTGGATCCAAAACACCTTTAATACTAAGGTATTTGCATACAAATTTACAAGACAAAAATACTACATTTGACCCTCCAAAAGTTGCTTCAAAGTTGCTACTGCACAGTCAAGGTAGTGGCCTAGGTTGCGGCCTGCTGTGGCTGGGCTATGGCTTGTCAAGTTGTCACTGCTGCTGGGCTGCTAGCAAGGCTACTGGCTACTGCTGACTTGTTGGCAAGGCTGCGACTTGCTAGCTGCTGCTGTGACCTACTGGCTGCTAGTAAGTCTGTTGCCTACTGGCTACTGCTGGCAAGGCTCTGGCCTACTGGCTATTGCTGGCAAGGTTGCTGGTGGCTGTGGCCTTGCATGGGCTATCTTGCATGATGTTTTTAGCCTTTGCTTGCACTTGAACCACCAACTTCTTAGGCATGTTTTTGGATCTCCAAAGGGCACAAATGAATGTGGCATCAAGGTGTTAACCCTTGGATGGGCGCACCTTGATAGTCTCTCCCCACTTAAACGGTCGACGCCCTTGGCGACTTTGCCCAATAAGCATCAATCTCGTCTTTAAAAGTTGACAAGTTTGCCTCCCGTTCCCAGTTGATTTCTTCATCTCCAAAGCCTCTTCATTTTACCAAGTATTGCCTTTGTTTCTTCTTGGAAACCATTTTCACCCGATCGGCCAAGATAGATTCAATAGACTTTTTCCCCGCTTTGGCGGTGATGGTTTGGCATTTTAGCTCATTTTAGGTTAGATCTTCCTTGTCTGGATAGTAAGGCTTCAAATAACTCACATAAAAACTAGGTGCACTTTTAGCCAAGATAGAGCATCTATCGTATAAGCACACTTGCTAATTCTCTTTAGAATGGTCACTAGTCCGTCATACTTACGCACTAGCCTTTTGTCTTTTCCCCTCATGAACTTGCGTTGCTCAAGGTTGAGTTTGAAAAGAAGTTGATCCCAAACTCTAAACTCAAGTGGCATTCTCTTTTTATCAACCCATTTCTTTATTTTACTTGCTGCTTTTTCAAGATAGGCACGAGTAATGTCATGATTTCTTTTCCATTCCTTAGCAAATTGGTAAGCCCTAGGTGACTTTCCTTCATAAGGTCCATTCACTGTGTGGGAAAATAGTGGCTGTTGTCCATTCATTATCTCAAAAACACTTTTGCCCGTAGAGCTACTCTTTTGAGAGTTGAAGCATAACTGTGCTACATCAAGAAGTTGCACCCAATTTCTTTGATTTGCATTGACAAAATGGCGCAAATACTCCTCGAACATACAATTAAAGCATTTGGTTTCCCCATTCGTCTTCGGATGATAGCTTAATGAAGTATTAAGTTGTGACTCAAGAAGCTTGAATAACTCTGTCCAGAAGTTGCCAACGAAACGCGAGTCTCAGTTACTAACAATACTTTTAGGCACACTCCAATATTTAACAATGTATCTGAAGAAGAGTTGGGTGGTCTCCTCCTCTAAAACATACTTTGGGGCAGCTAAAAATGTGGTATACTTGGAGAATCGGTCCATAATAGTCAAAATGGTCCCGATGTCTCCCACTTTAAGCAGTCCAGTGATGAAGTCAAGTGATACACTTTTCCACGAACGTTTAGGCACGGACAAAGGTTCAAGCAAGCCTGCTTTCTTCTTATGTTCAACCTTGTCTTGATGGCAAGTGAGACAAGTGTGGACATATTCTTCCACATCATCATGTATCTAGGGCCAATAATATCCTTGCTTCACCAAGGCCAATGTTTGCTCCCAACCCGGATGTCCTGCCCAAAGTGTATCATGGCACTCCCTAAGAAGTGTCTTTCTCAAATCACCAGCCCTGGGTACAAAGATATGGTTGCCTGTTGTTATTAGTAGTCCATCTTGCACCCAAAATTGCTGAATCTTGCCAATTTTGACAAGGTTCATAAGATTCTCTGCCATAGCATCCTTTGTCTAGGTAAGCCTTGATTTTTTCCTTGATGCTGGTTGAAATAGAAGTAAGTGAACATACTTGATGGCACACGGAAAGCTTTGCTTTCCTACTTAGTGCATCAGCAACATGGTTGGTAGCACCAGCCTTGTATTCTAAGGCAAAATCAAACTCTGTGCCAACTTCTTTTGCCACTGTGCTTGTCGTGCGCTTAGCTTGGGCTATATTAAGAAATGGCTAACCACCGTGTTGTCAGTCTTTACAACAAACCATGAGCCTAAGATGTAGTGCCTCCAAGTCCTCAGACAATGCACTACCGCAAGTAACTCTTTTTCATGAGCTAGATATCTCCGTTCAGCATCATTGAGCTTCCTACTCTCATAGGCAATTGTGTGACCATCCTGCAAAAGAACACCATCCAAAGCAAAATTAGATGCATCAGTTTGTATCTCAAGCTTTACCTAAGTCAGGTAGAGCAAGAATAGGGTCTTTTGACATAGCTTCTTTCAAGGCTTGAAAGGCTTGTTGGCGCTCTTCTGCCCAAACATATGGCTTGCCCTTCTTTAGCAACTCTGTCAATGGAGAAGCTAGTCTTGAGTAACCTTCAACAAACTTGTGATAATAATTAGCTAACCCAAGGAATGACCGCAACTCTGAGACATTAGCGGGTAGATGCCACTATTGAATAGCCTTGACCTTCTCTTGGTCCATTTTGATGCATCCATGCTCAACAATGTGCCGTAGGAACTTAATCCTCTCTTGGGAAAAATAACACTTCTCTAGCTTGACATAAAGCTTGTGCTCCCTTAACTTGGACAATGCTTTTCTGAGATGTTCCATGTGTTTTTCTAAAGTGAAGCTATAAATTACAATGTTGTCCAAGTATACTACCATGAATTGGTCTAAGTACTCTTGAAAAACCACATTCATCACAGCGCAAAATGTTATTAGGGCATTGGTCAAGCCAAATGGCATGACTAAGAACTCATACGAACCATAGCGAGTAACGCATGTCATTTTAGGCTCGTCTCCCTCGGCAATTCTTGCTTGATAGTACCTGATCGAAGATCTAGCTTTGTGAAGTACATCACTTTGCTTAATTGATCAAATGAATCTGCAATTAGGGAAATGAGATACTTATTCTTGATGGTTAGCTTATTGAGGGCCCGATAACCCACACATAAGTAAAGACTACCATCATGCTTCTTTTGGAATAAGACAGGTGCACCAAATGGGGCCTTGGGTGGCCTAATGAAGCCTACTTCCAATAACTCTGTAAGTTGCTTCCTTAATTTATTCAATTTAGGAATAGCCATTCTATATGGTGCACAAGCTAGTGGCTTTGCCCCTGGCACCAACTTAATATCATGATCCACACCTCGACGTGGAGACAATTCCTTAGGCAATTGTTTAGGCATAATATTTGAAAATTGCCTTAAGACCTTCTTGATTGCGGATGGGACAGGAGTAGATTCAAGAGCTTTATTCAACTTCAATGTGGCAACCCAAGTTTGTTCATCATGCCTAACACCCCTCTTGAGTTGCATAGCTAAGACAAACCGGTCACTGTTGTTGGCGGCCATAGCAGGAATAAGATATGGCTTGTCCCCCATGACACACATACTATTAGAATAAGGCATGACTGCCGTCTTTGTACTTCTCAAGAAATCCAACCCAAGGATGGCTTGGAAGTCATCCATGGTTACTGCAGTGAAGTCTACTCTTCCTTCCCAAATGCTGACCTTCAAATGAACAGATTTTGCAATCCCATAGATGGGCTGCACAGCCGAGTTAACCACCTTGATGTGGCTGCCATCCTTATCTAAAGATAGCCCAAGTCTTTCAACTTCAGTCCCTGCAACAAAGTTGCGGGTGGCCCCGGTGTCAATCAAAGCACAGAGGGGCTTCCCATTGAGTTTTACATCCACAAACATCAAACCTTTGTTAGATGACTTGCTCTTGTTCAACTTGCCTGATGATTCCCCACTATATATGGGTTTCTTCCCTTTGTCTTCATCTTTAGCCTCCACAAGTTGTTTAGGATCTAAATGCTTGCCCACTTTGCCACTCTTGGCATTCTTCTTAGACCTTCTTGTAGAAGCCTTCTTCTCCATGGCATTCATCATATGAAAGGCTCCCACTCTAGAGCCAGCTGCCTTGGAACCCTTGCCACTTCGCCTAGACTGCACGTCTTCTTCCTCACTATCATCGTCACTTGGTTGAGAGACATGGTCAGGCACTGCTGCTAAAACATTCAAGGCATGCTTTTGTGGACATTTAGATGACCGATGTGGCCTATTGCATAAGAAACAAGCGATAGGGACCTTTGCTTTGTTTGTAGAGAACTGTTGAGGGGCTTTTGCCTTGTCACCATAGCTCTTCTGTTGCCATTGTCCTCCACACGAATGGGTTTTGGATGTAGAAGTGTTGGCTCCCCCACTCTTAGGTATGCCACGGCCTTGGGACTTTCCACCTCCCCTACTCTTGTGCGGGGAACCACTGTCCCGTTGATTAGGTTCAGCATAGTTCGTAAGGCACTCAGCTACTGCTTGTGCATAGGCTAAATCTTTTACTCTTTGCCTTTGAAGTTCAACTTTGGCCCATGATTTCAATCCCTCAAGAAAGAAGAAGAGCTTGTCTTTCTCTGACATGTCTTTGATGTCTAGCATAAGCCTAGAGAATTGTTTCACATATTCTGTTATAGTGCTTGTGTGCTTGAGATCCTGCAAAGGACGCTGGGCATTATACTTAGCATTTTCAGGGAAGAATTGGAGCTTAAGTTCATGCTTAAGTTGCTCCCAAGTCTCAATTGTGCATAAGCCATGTTGTATCTCATCATGTTTAGTCCACCACCACAACTTGGCATCACCGGACAAATACATTGTGGCCATAGAAATCCTTGTTTCCTTGACTTCGGCTTTCATAGCTTTGAAATATTGCTCCATATCGAAGAGAAAGTTGTTTAACTCCTTGGCATGTCGGGCGCCACTGTAGGCACGGGGCTCGGGCACACGCACCCTAGGGAATTCCATGCCACCACAATGTGCATTGCCAAAGGCACGGGTAAGAACACCAACCCGGCCACTAAGATCTTCAATTTCTAGCTTGAGTTCAGTGACAACATCCTCCCAATCTTGCCCTTGAGTAAGGCCATGAGTTTGCTCAAGATCATGAACCCGTTGCTCAAGGTTGTCTAATGAAGTTTCCAAGACATCCATATTGGTCTTGTTTGGTGTAGCTGTTAAAATAGATTATAGATTATAGCTTAATAGATTATAGATTATGACTTTAATCAGAAGCTGTTAATCTGTTTGGTGTAGCTGTTGGATTATAGATTTAAATTGCTGAGTAGTGTTTGTTAAATAAGCTGTGAAGTAGCTTTCTCAATTAACTTTTATTTTTTATTATTCACTATTTGTCTATATTTCTCATAAAATAATAATAATATTCTATAGTCCTTACGTCTTTTTCTATTTTTAAAAAAACAAAAAATAAAAAATATAAGAGTATAACCATGAATGAACATGTCTACAGCAGAAGCTGATAATCAGAAGTAAGGGGTGAGCAGTTTCTCAGAATCAGCTTTTTTGACTTAAAATAAGTTGCTAGAATCAGAAGCTGTTTGAAATAAGTTTAACCAAACAGTCCAAAAAAACTTTTTAAAAGCCAAAAGCCATAAGTTGGCTCAAAAAAGCCCCACCGAAGACCCCCATTGTCCATACGTTGCTCCAAGAGCTCAATTCTCTCCCTTTGTGTGGGTTGACGGTGGCTAGGAGCATCCATTTAGAAAGCCAAGAATAGAGAAAGCCAAATAGACTAGGCTCTGATACCAACTGTCACACACTGGCTGTGCGAAAGCCTTGTCAAGAGATATGCAGGTGTGTGTGGCGCTAGTTAACACTCTTCACTAGCCTGCCAAGAAAGCTCAAAGGGTTTGCGAAAACAAGCAAACACAATATTAGTTAGCTTATGAGCCACTAGGTTGGAGACAAGCCACGAATTTAGCAAGCAACAAGCTAAAATTAAAGTAAGCAACAATAGAAAGCTTTGCACAATTTAAAGGTGAAATGAACTTTTCATTGATGAAAAGAATGCATTACAATAGTTGAACAATGCACCAAAAGTGATACAAAAGTTGCCTTACCATTGGCTAGGTTGGGATACTTTAAAGGCACAAGTAGTTTAGTTCAACACTTGGGTACCCCCTCCTTAATATAGCTTGTTAAGCCATTTCCTAGTTGGCAAGAGGAAACATCCCCTACGTTCGAGGAATCATAATGGATTTTCAAAAATTCTACAAAAAGAGAAAAATTACAATACTTGGACCCAAAACACCTTTAATACTTAGATATTTACATAAAAATTTACAAGACAAAAATACTAAACTTGACTCTCCAAAAGTTGTTTCAAAGTTGCTGCTACACAGTCAAGGTAGTGGCCTAGGCTGCGGCCTGTTGTGGCTAGGGTCACGATCTGCTGTGTCCTGGCACTATTGTTGGGCTGCATGGCAAGGCTGCTGGCTGCTGCTAGCAAGGCTGAGGCCTGCTGGCTGTTGCTGGTAAGGCTATTGGCGGCTGTTATTAGCTATGGCCTTGCATGGGCTATCCAATGGCATGCCATGGGTTGTCTTGCACTATGCTTTGAGCCTTTGCTTGCACTTGCACCAACAATTTCTTAGGCATGTTTTTGGCTCTTCAAAGGGCATAAATGAGTGTGGCACCAAGGTATTGACCCTTGGATGGGTGCACCTTGACACCGTGCCAGGCATTAAATCAATTGAGAACTTAGGCCCCGTTTGTTTTCAGAGGTAGAATGGAGGGGATTCATAGTGAAGGAATTAATAGTGAGGGGATTGTTAGTGAGGGGATTAAGTAAAATTGTGTTTGTTTTAATGATAGTTATTAGTGTAGGAATTGTTAAATTATTTTTATATAAAATAATGAAACAAATAAAAAAATATAAAAAATTAAACATTAATGTTTTAAAAAAAATTCCCAATATATAAAAAATAAAAAAATAATAAAAATTTTTCTAATTCCCTCACTATTTTTCTAATACCATCTCCACCTTCTCCATCTCAATCCCCCTTCCAACCTCCATCTATATCACATCCTCTATCTTAATCCCCTCCCCAACTCTACAAACAAACACAACACAAAATAACCCCACCTCCATCCTAATTCCCTCCCATCTATTTAACCCCAAAACAAATGGGGCCTCAATCTCGTGGCAAACTAGTGAGATCCTTAGGAAAAACGTCCAGGTATTCACAAACTACTCTCGGCAAATCAACCTGGACTTCATCACACTCATTACCCAAGAAGTTAGCAAGAAGATAACTAAGTTCACTCCACCCACGCGGATCATACATTGGCGATGAAACTCTATCGGCTCTGTTCCATATGAAATAAAAGAAATCACCGCTCAAGGTACATACAGTAACCCTCTGACGGTAAAAATCTATGATAAATTGATACGACGACAACCAGTCCATACCCAAAATAGCATCAAAACAAGACATGTCAATTAACACAAATACAAAAGGAAGTCAGCGACTGGCAACCTCTATATCACAACCCTAACACCCTTGCTCCAAGATAATCTCACTACCAATAGGTGACACTACATTGAGAGGAGATGCTAATCGAGCCAACTCTAACCCCAATGCCAATGCAAATGCAGATGAGATAAAGAATAGGATGCACCCGTATCAATCAACACATTGGCAATAGAATTGCATAACAAGAAAGTACCTCTCACTATCGAAAGTGCTGGCACTAAGTCTGGCGTGGTAACAACATACACACGTTGGTAGGTCTTTGCTGCACCTACTCACTCCTCGAGGCACAAATCTGGTGCACTGACTGAGCCGAAGAGGCTCCCTGATTGGCCCTCGAGGCCTAAGTTGACTGCGCTGGTTGATGGCTCTGTGTCTGCCTCTGGCCAAACGCTCCAGATATGCCGCCTGACTGAGGGCAAAACCTCCTTGTGTGCCTTACCTACCCACACTGATAACACGTAGGTGGCTACCTACTTTTCTGACTTTGGCTCTGAGAACAACCCAACGATGGTGCAGACTATTGCGTTCATCCTTTCTTCGGGTAAACTACAGACTTGTGACCTAGCTGGCCACACTTGAAACAGGTAATCCCTCCGTGTCCACGTCTCCCTGACCCAGGACTTGGTATAGGAAAAGTAGACCTAGACTGAGCTCCCTAGGATTGCTCTGGAGTAGAACCCCTCTGCCTCTTATTGTCCCGCATCTCCCTCTGAACCTCCTGATTCCTTATGGAGCCCCTCATACATTCCTTTTTTCGCTTGAACCATGGTCTCTAGATGTGCTGCCACCTCCACAAGGCGCCCGTAGTCCCTAATCATTGACCCGACTACTTTGAACAAGAGCCCGGTCCTTAACCTCTTCTCAAACTCGATACAACAGCATTCCTCAGTCGCTACGAGTTTCGGTGCGATCCTCGATAAGCTAGTACTAGAAAAGTAGACCCAGAACTTGGTACAGGAAAAGTAGACCTAGACTGAGCTCTCTGGGACTGCTATGGAGTAGAACCTCTCTGCCTCTTATTGTCCCACATCTCCCCCTGAACCTCCTAACTCCTCATGGAGCCCCTCATACATTCCTTTTTCGCTTGAACCATGGTCTCTAGATGTGCCGCCGCCTCCATAAGGCGGTCGTAGTCCTTAATCATTGACCTGACTACTTTGAACAAGAGCCCGGTCCTTAACCTCTTCTCACTCGATACAATGGCATTCCTCAGTCGCCACGAGTTTCGGTGCAAACCTCGATAAGCTGGTAAAGGCAACCTCAAACTTGGCCACAGGTGTGTTAAGTTGGTTGAGCTTTAGAAAATAATCCCTCAACTTCTCCCTGGTAGTGGGAGGTAAGAACTTGTCTTGGAAGGCATTGATGAAATCCTCCCAAGTCACTCCAATGCGCCTACGCACATACTGCGAAGCCCCTGAAAAATGTATTTTCTTTAAAAACCCTTATGTTTGAATTATTTCCTTAAAAGCCCCTCAGTTTCTTAAATTATTTCAAATCTTGTCGGTTAGCATTTTTAATTTTTATCGGAATAGGAATATCCTAGCTGAATTAGGTTCCTTAGCCTAATTTAATTTAATTCTACATAAATAAGGTTCCAATACATGAGTTTAATTCCAAGCCCTCACTTCTTTTATTAATTTCAAGATTTGCCGCAAAACAAGTACATGTACTTTTTATACTATAAGTACCATCAAATCAATTTGAGATTTATATATATACATTGGAAATATGTCCATAGTACTCGTACATTGAATAAAATATTCCTCATTTCCCTTCCCCATGGCCGGCCAACCTAGGAGAGTGTGAGGGACCAATTTTCAAAGCTTGTAATCATAGCATTCTAGAAGCAAAGTACCAAGTACAAGGGTTGTGTTTCCAACCTAGTTTCATCCCAACTAGAGACTAATTAAATCTTGTCTAACCACATAATTAAGCCCCTTAATCACTCCATATTCCATTAGACTCCAAGTAAATCCAAACTTTTCAATCCAATTCCAACTAGTAGGCCTTTTTGTATTTTCACACCAAATTTGCCTATATATACAACCACCCACTTAGCATAGCAAACACAAACAACACACACACAGACACCTACATTTGGCCTAGAGGAGAGAAAGGAGAGCACGAGAAAAGTCTTGGGAGGGAGAGGAAGGAAGAGGAGAACAATCTTGTTCAAGCCTAGCAAGTAAGCTACAACACAACTTTCTCTTTTATTTTTCTTTTCAAATACATGTTCTTAAGGGTTCTATACATTGTTTTCAGATGTGTTTTAGTGATTTTCTTGTGTTAAAAATGAAAAGAGTTGAGCCATGATTCTACTCTTCTTGTAGTTCCCCTTATTCGGTACAAAACTATCTTTTTCATACCGATCTCTCAAACTTTCCAAAGGCACACTTTCAAGATAAATTTCTGAGTTTAATATATATTATTTATCATGTTTTCATCACAAAAGAAATGAAAAATTTCCCTTAGTGGATCTCTTTTTTCACAAATCTTCTTGTTTTGGATATTGTGCCTTAAAAATCTGTTTTCACAACCAACTTTCAAAATTTCTAGAAAAATGTAGAAAATCATTCTGGACCTTCATTTTATGTAAAAATCTCCCTTAAGGAGTTATCTTTAAACCAAAATTGGTTTCATTGAAAACGAGTGAACGATTTGTGAGAAACTCTGATTTTCGTAACAGTTGACGAATCTGGACAGTGCTAGAGTGTTTCTTAAATAACTGAAAATATAGAAAAGCTATCCCATTTCCGAAATATGTTCTGGAAACTAGATTAAATTCTCTACGAATCATAGGGAGGCCGAGTTCAGTAAAAATCTAAAATAGCCCTTTTTATTTTAATCTTTAAATGGTACTAAATCTGAAATTTTTGTTTTGCATGGGTGTTTTATGCTCTTGTGTTCATGAATATGCTTATTAGTTTATGATCATGTCTTGGTATGATATTGCATGTGTTATGGTTATGTTCTTTATTTTCTTCATTTTAATGATGTATGCTTATGTGGATATTACTATCTTGTTAAGGTAGTCTAACCTTAATTTAAAACATTTAACGCAACGAAAAACTTAATTGGGATGGTATTGGGTTTTCGACACTTGAATAACGAAGAGACGATAATGTGCTATGTATGGATTAATGGGATGCGTTCCCTATTTGGAAGTTAAAGTCTTGTGCAAGTGGTTTTTGGAACTCTTGTACGGAGTGGTTGTATTCGGATCCTAGGTATTTGGTGTGAGGAGGGATTTGGGCAAAGCCCATTATTACCGTCTCTTTTAAGGCCCTGTGGTTAGCGCTACGCGGTACATAACCGTTGGTAGGCATCCAAGGTAAGATTTGCAACAAAGCAGCAAAAGAGGGGGCATACCGAATAATCCGCGTCCGATTATTGTCGTTGGGAGGACGAAGTCTCTTTGGGGGATTTCTAGTTTACTAACATCTAACCTTGTAACCATTTATTTGTTTAGTCGAATATCTTGCTTCATTACTTGCTGTCATATTTGTGCTTGTGTATTGGACTGGGAAAAAGGGACGGGGTGTGCATGCGTTTACTGGGCATTCAAAACTCACGGCGTATCATGCCAGGTGCCGAAGATGAGCTTATAGCTGGAGACGACGAGCCAGAAACCTTTGAAGACTTTTGGCTATCTTAGAAAAGTTAGAAATTTCCCCTTTTGATATTTTGTAAGGCTCATATGAAGATTTTAATTTTTGGGATGTAATGTAATGGAACGAGCTTTTGTAATTAAGGATATCCGTGGTTATTATGTACTTATATTCTAACATATATATAAACCCTATCGTTGTTGTGAGACCTTGTGTTAACACCTTTTAAGATCTGTCAAAAGGGTAGTGCACTGCCTAAGAAAGCTGGACTTAGAAGGGAGGCTAATTTGACTTATCCGGCGATCTGGGATCTTACCTGGTTATTGACCATAGGACTCATTAGTGACTCTCCCTTGACTGCAACCAATAGTGTAGACTCGTGGCGTCACACATACTTCCACCATTGACCTGCATCTCCCTTCAACTGGAAGGATTCCAAGGTTACCCTTAAACCATCATCTTCGATGCCAAGCATCTTGAATATCTTCACCATCTGCTCGAGCCATTCATCCACTTTCAGTAGCTCCTTCGGATCCCCCAAAAACTCATCTGGATTAGACTGGAAAAACTCCCTTTTTAAGAAAGACAACCCTGCCTCAGCAATCTGGGCTTGAACTTGATTCTCAACTCTAAGAATGTCCATAGACTGCTGCAAAGCCCCGGCCATTTCACAGGCCAAAGCACTCACGGCCTGTTGGCCAATTTGTTCGGCCACATTGGCCTAACCGACCCCTTCTTCCTGTGTCGGAATTTCATCTGGTAACGACATCTCATGCCGTCTCGGCCTACTACGCCTACCACCCCCACCACCACGTTCTCGTCTTAACATCCTAATAAAGGTAATACAATAGATTAGCACATTTACAAATGTGCCGAAGCTAACTTACTCACATCCTAATGCGATGGGCAACATTTAATTCATTCCACATAAGCACATAAACACATTCAAACTTTGTTTCTAGATAAGGATCGTCCTGCTGCATTACCAGAGTTCTAGTTATAAGCAGTGGTGATCAAGTGCTCTTCTAACAAGACTTCTAGAAACCCATAGACCCGATCAATATCTTAGAAATTAAATTCCATACCCCTATTGTTACATAAGCATGTTATCATATAAGCATACTATACCCACAAATATCTCTATCAAGCAAGATAAACCCATTGTGGTAAAAACCACTTTCCACGTACCTAAAGTATTCAAACCCGATACACTTTGATACCAAGCTGTAACGCCCTGAATTAAATACAGCAACCCATCCACAATAGTGATTAAAAGACGACATATAAAGAGATAAGAACTTCCATTAATTTGAATTTCTTATGCAAAAGAGCAACACATGCAACTGTACATTTATAAGACGGGCCCTGAATCTATAATACATGCTACATGGTGAGGAACAAAACGAAAGGTAAAGAAATAAGAGAATTCCCTAAAGGTGTACAACTTTCCAAGTTAGCACTTGGTTACGACAAAAATGGATTTAAATCCCAATACATATAAAAGCCCTTGCTTGTATAAAACAAATACACAATTAAACAAAATGAAGCTCTTGTTCCATGTCCTCCCAAGCTATTGCCTTGGCGGAGGCCTATCATCTGCACCTAAAATGTTTTTCCCACATAGGATGAGCCAAAGCTCAGTAGAAATAACCCAACATAACATATGAATCTTAACAAAACTATAGGGGTAAAATGCACATGCAATGCTCATGACAAAACATTTTATATCTCTTTCAAATCATGCCATGCCGGGTTTATATTACCATTCATGAAACACTTTCCTTTTTATGGAAAACCAGTTTGTGAATACAACTCTGTGAATCTCTAGGTACATGTCTGCTAGCATGCTCTATAAGCACCACTCTTTTGTCATTTTAACCGGTATTAACCAGAAGGCTCAACACCTATCCGTACGAGTTTCTGGTCTTTCACCAAGGACACACATGCCAACTTATCATAGTAACCACACCAAGTATTCACCATTTTCTCAAAACAATGTGATTATTACAAATGTGTAAATGTATGACAATGCTTGATACAATGGATGAGAAATAGTTTTCATTTTCCTAGTCCTCATGCAATTTCTACAACAATCATGGCTATCCTCCACTGGTAGACCAAAACAGATATCTCTAAACAAATAAAATAATTTTCATAAAGATAAACTTTCCAAATTTCGAGATGCGAGTGGTAATACATTTCCAACTCCACCATCTTAATCAATAACAATTAAATTCCATATTTCCAACATCTATATCGTTATTTATACAAAATCAACATTTAGAGCAAAACCCCTTTTCCAAAATTACTTCCAAATTTCAAAACCAACCATGTTGTCACCTTTACATCTCATTTCCCAACCCCACAATCATTTCCATGAAACCATTTGAAAACCCCTCTTTTTAGTTTCAAACCAAAAATCCAAGATTTGTTCAAAAGTCCATTTCTTTCGCAAGGTGGTTTTATAAAAACAAATAGCTAAGTTAAAACTCATAAAGAGGTGCGAAGAATCCCTACCTCAAGCTCAGAAGGGTGAAAGAGAAGAACTTAGAAAAATTGGACTGTGGCTTGACTTTTCGTGCTCCTTTCGGATATGACTAGCCCCACAGTTCGGACTCCTGTGGTTTTGAATATGATTTCACAAAGTGAAATGTGAAATAGTGAAAACACAAAAGAGTCCAAATCCAACAATTCTTTTGGAAAATTGATGCTTGAATCAAATGCCAAAAATGGACTACTTTGCCAGATTTTAGAGTTGCCACCTAAATATTTTCGATAAATTTAGGAAACCCAAGACTCGTGCCAAAGGCCACTTATCCGTCATCACCAAAGTGTCTCGGCTCGAGACCTTAGGTACAAGAGGGCAAGGTCATGAATTGAGCACCCCACTCGCCCGATCAAAGATTGGCGTTTACTAATCATGATGTAATTTTTATTTACATTATATGCTCTTTTTTTTGATTTATTAGCTATTTTTGCTATGTGACGCACACAAGTATAGATTAATTTGCAAGGATTGTAACATTTGATTTTACCTTTGTTTTGAAAATTGTTTTGTGAATATGCCACTTGAAAATGGACATTAATCAAACTATCTCAATTCAAGCAACTAGCCTTCATTCACAGGCATTCAAACAGTTATATCATTTAACCAATTGGCCTCATGGAAGTATGCTTGGACATGGTAAAAACCAAACTTATGCGATATGCTAAAACTCAAAATTGCTCACCTAGTACTTCAAGCAAAAACAAAGCAAAATACTTAGAAAATATGCATGCTCTTAATCAATGCAATGCACACATTATGTATTTTACAGGCTCGGCTATGAGCATGACATATGATTCCATTCAAGACATGTGATGAAGCACGTATTCAAGCAATGAATTTGAACATTTGATATTGAGTTAGCATGATGAGCTGGGCCTTGGATGCATGCAAGGCAATGGATCTAACACATAAGGATGCTAATTTGAAAAATGATATTCCTATACTAACCATCGTAAGCAAGTAAGTAAAAGGGAGAAAGACGTGGGGTTGGAAGACATACAACTTATTGCATATTTGCAGAAACTGTAAACGCGCCCCGAAGGCCTCATGCTACTACAGTTCGGACTCGTTTGTCACGGTTCTTAATCTGATCTCACAATGTGCGATGTGAGATTGATAAATCACCAAAGAGTCCAAATCTGACAAATCGTTTTGGAAAACTGATTTTTAAGAAAGAGGTGCCAAACATGGACTGCTTTGCCAAATATAGAGTCGCCACCTAAATATTTTATTTTGGGGAAATTTAGGAAACCCTGACTCGTGCCTAAGGCCATGTGTCCGTCATCACCAAAGTTGCCTCGGCTCGGGAACTTGGGTATGATTGGGGAAGGTCATCTATGAGCACCCCCGCTCGCCCGATCAAAGATCGGCCTGTACTAAACATGATATCTAGTTTTTGAAAACACGTGTGTTCTTGTTCCGGTTAATTAGCTAGAATTTACTAAGTGATGCGCACAACACACAAGTATAGACTAGATCGTCTAATTTGGAACAAAACATTGCATATCTGTTTGCTTGGAAACAGTTTGAAGTTTGCTACTCGCAAGTAGGCTAAAATGCAGATTTCAATGAATTGTCCCAATTCAAACAATCCAACCTTCACCCACAGGCATTCAGGCAGGTATATCACATAAGCAAATAGCCTCATGGAAAGCATGCTTTCATGTTAACACTCACATACATGCAAGATGCTAAAGCATAAACACTCACAGTGTACTCCAAGCCAAAATAAAGAACTAGTTAGTAATCAATACATGATCCTAATTCATGTTAAGATGGCTAATGCAACATATACGAAATGTAACTAGAAATAGGCTCGGCTATTCTAAGATGGCATATGAGATGCGACGATTTGATACATGTATTCAACTTGGAATTGAAATACGATGCAATTAGTATGATGCACCGAGCCCGATGCATGCAATACAGATGAATGATGCAAACATGCATAGCATAAGGATGCTAATTGAAAATGACCTAGAACTAACCATCGTAAGCAGTTAAGTAAAAGGGAGAAAGAAATGAAGGTTTGGAAGACATGCATCGCACACATGCACGCTTATTACAACAATTGCGCCCTCTCGATGGAGGGACCGAAAGAATAATACAAACCAACTAATTAACTAACTATCCTAGCTAATTAATTATTACACAACACTTAACTAATTAAACAAATTAATTAAGCTATGAAAGCAGTAAAGTAGCCTTGGGAAGAGGGACGAATGCATGCATGCTCGACTTCGCTCGGAAATCTATCGCCATGCTCATGCTGCCTCTGTTTACACTGCTCTACACCTCTGGAAACTATGCAAATCTCAAGGATGCTTCTGAATCACCTTCTGAGCACTGTGGGATGTCACCGGCCGAAAGTCAAGGCCACCGGCCAAGAGGAACTGGTCATCAGCCATTTGTGGGGATCTCGGCCAACAATTCATAGCCGGCCGGCACTGAAGATGGCCGACCAACCATCTCTTTTTGCAGAATCCTATTTTTTGCTGTAACAGAGGATAGACAGAGCATGGCAATGCATTTTCAAGGCAATGTTTGCACCACCACCCTCATTATCATGTTTGAGACTCAAAGGAGTATGGTTCTCAACCCTCGGGCCATCAATCACGCATTTCAATGCATGATGGCCAAAGGAGCCAGGTGTGCAATTAATATCAAATGAAATGCACAAAAACATACAAGGGCCCTCAACCTCTATGAAGAGACAAGGGATGCACATACAATGCTATGCAACCTAAACATGCAAGCAACCATACAAGCAAATCAAGCATGATGCAAATCCAATGCAACATAAGCATGTTAATGACAATGCCATACCTAGTGTTGACAAGCATGCCAAATGCAATGTAACCTAAACAAGTATGCAGGATGCAACATGAACATTCAAGCATGCAAAGGTGGACAAGTATGCAACAACATACAAAATGAGACAAGCATGTGACAACATGATAAAGGGATAAGCATGCAAGAAGCATGCAACATACTAGCATGCAACAGCATGCAAGGTACTAAATATGCAACAAGCATGTGACAACATGCAAGGCAAGCATGCAACAACATGCGGGGATGGTCTTAAACCAAAACGGACAGCTCTCGAATAGGTCCAAATC